TCTTTGTTTTTTAGTATTTTGACTATTATGTGTCTAGGTGTTTTATTTTTAAATTATCCTACTTGGGGTTCTCTGAGCATCTTAGATATGTGATTTATTGTCTTTCATTAATTTTTGAAATTTCTCAACTACTCTCTCTTCAAATACTTCTCTCTCTCTTTTCTCCTGGAATTCCAATCACATGTCTGTTAGACTGATATTATCCCACAGCTTTTGAATCATCTATCTTGTTTTATTCATTTATTGTTTTTCTCTCTGTGTTTCACTCTGGATAATTTCCACTGACGTATCTTCAAATTCAGATTCTTTCCTCAGCTGTGACAAGTCTATCAATAAGCCCACCAAAGGCTTCATTGCTGTTAGCATGTTTTTTCATTTCTAACCCAGCTAAAGTTTCCCATTGTTCAGGTAGGTTGCCCATCTTTTCCACCAAATCCTTTAACACATTAATCCCAGTTCCAGTATCTAGGATGTCTCTGAGTTCAGTTCTGTCATGTTTCATCTCTTCACAATGGATTGTTTTTTCTTATGTTTCTTTTAGTCTTAGAATTTTTGAAGACTTATTTAGAGAGAGAGTGTGAGCAGGGGGAGAGGAAAAGGGAGAGAGAGAGAGAAGCAGACTCTTCACATAGTGCAGAGCCTGACATGGGGCTCGATCTCATGACCTTGAGATCATGACCTGAGCTGAAATCAAGAGTTGGGTGCTTAACCGACTGAGCCAGCCAGATGTCCCTAGTCTTAGACTTTTTAACTGAGTGCCACACATCCTGTGGAAAACAGTAGAGATAGATTGATAACATCTACATCTGGCCATTAGTGTGAAGGCCTGTGTCAATCTAGTCAGTTGAAACTGGTTTTGATTTTGTTATTTTTACTTTTACTGCACTATCATCTTGTACTTAGAGTCAGACCCAGGTGCCAGAGGGTTCATTTTCCAGCTCCACCCTCAGCTTTCAGCAATTCCTGGTTGCCCATGTCATCCCACAATCTTGTGCTTCCCGAAGTTGTGAACTGCTATTGCTTGTTATTTGATACTGAGCTGATAATAAGTGGGAGTGTAAGTTCTTGGTTCCCCTGGCCCATCCTCAGACTTAAGTAGAGTCTGTGTACCTGGACTCTGTGGTAGCACCTTCTGAAAATTTCTAACTCCTCCCCCATGGCAGTTAAACATGGCAGAGACACTTCTCACAGTTCTTAAACAGAAGTATTCTTACATTCTCCCAGGGATAGATTTCTGCTTGGTATTGGGGCAGGATCCTGGGCCTAAGAGGTATTCTGCCTCTCCCCAGGGGCAAAAGTTCTTGTACTTGCCCTTCCCCCAGAGGCAGTGGATGTTTGCCTGGGCCCTGGAGGCAGGAAGGCTTGCTGTCCCTCCACCAGTGCCTAATGGCTTTTACTTATGCAAGAGAAAGATCTGAGGAAGTGGGTAGTGTTTCACATCTGCCACCCAGTACCATTCTATCAACGACTACCTGCATGCCTGTGTCACTGAGAGATCTCTTCTTGCCAGGCTTCTGCCCTAGGGGTTCTCATTAGTACCCAGTGAAGGCTTGTGAATGAATGTTAACTGTTGTCCTGTCAGGGTTCCCACTTATTCCAAGCTTATATTTTTATCCACACAGTCTTTAAAGAATACTTTAAAATTTTAGCTGAATCCTGTTGGGAGATAAATCTTCCAAGGTCTCCCACTTCTGAGTGATTTATGAATAGAAGCACTGATTGCCTTTGTCTTGGACTACCTTTTCAGCCTGGGAAAATAAGAGAGCTAGGTTTGATTACTGTCCACTATCATAAAGATGTCTCCCTTCAGAGGAAAGGGCAGGCATACTTTATACCTATTACAAAATATTTAGGTTCCCTGAACTCAGGCTTCCTCCCTTGCAATGCGACCCACTGCCCGTATAGGTGTCACCTGGCCCTCTTCTGATGGCACTGTAGGATTGGGGATCAGGGAACTAGCACTCTGATAAATGCTATTACACTGAGTAATAAAGTCCTTTTCCTCTGATTCAGGAAACTGTGGCACACTAACATAACTTGAAGGTAGGGTAATATCTTAGACTCTTCCAAGTTCTTGATAATTTCTTCTTACTTGCTTTAGTATTATACTCTCTGCCAAAGGGGAAACCATTCATATATCCTGTCTCCCCTTGAAAGGTCTTGTTCAATTCCTTTGGTTGCCTTCTCTGATGGGGAGTAAGAAAATCTATGATTTTTTTCCTTGATGTTAGGATCGGGCAACATTCTCATGCAGCTTTCTACATATTAAGGAGAAGCACAGCTCCTAAGATGTATTTATTTGATTACTTTCTATTATCAAAGATAGACACTTACTGATTTGTAAACTCCATCGTTCTGCTTATGCACATGTTTAATTAGTTTTTTAAAGCAGTGTAAACTTGGATGAAGAACTCTAAGAATTTTGAAAAACTGTCCATGGAATGTTTCATCCCAGAGCTGGAAGCAATGGACCAAGGATGTTTACCTTCTAGCACAGGTGAAGCAGGAAAGGGTGAAAGAATGATTCGTGAGAGATATTCTGCAGAATGTACATATGAAGTGACCAAGTCTTATAGAAATCAGGGGGACATTGAGGGAAAACTCCAACCACTTGGAGTTAGAAAGAGGGCTTTTGAAGCTCTCAAAAATGAACAGGAGGATATGGCAGAAAGACCTGAAAAGGATACAAAGATAGAAGAACAGCAAGTGGTGTCGTGGGAAAACCCTCTCTACATTCACTCTCTTTTTTTGGTAAACAAAATCTAGATTTCTTCTGTGAGATTTACCTCTTCTGCATTGTGGAAGTCTGGTAAGGGCTCCCAAATAAAGTGCCCACTCTTCCCCTAAGCAAGTTTCCTAGGATTCCCTGAGTCACAAAAGATAGAAAAACAGTCGGACTGATTCGTCACCGAGCTGTTGGTTCCTCACACATAGATCCCAGAAGAGCCTTGGTTCCTATTATTTTTAAATGTGGCTTATTCTTTCTTCTAACTCTGTGAATTACCCACTATTTCTATTTTGCTTAAGTTTCTGTTGCTTACAACCAAAGAAACCCAACTGATACAGGGTAAGTGGTCCAATAGAGGGCAATGACAGAGGTTAAAGGAAGTTTTTGAAGGTAGCCTGAAATCCAGATACTTTATTTAAAATTATTAAAAGGACATGTTATTAACAACTGTCAAAATTGCTGGCTATGATACAATAACTAATCAACTTCATGTTTCTGTGTGCTTATAGTTAATTAACATTATCTAATAGGTTAATAATGTTTTATTACTACAAACTTTATTTACAGTTCATTCTCATATCTCCCATGTTAGAAATCAAAATAAATGAGAATGAACTGAAATAATATGCATTACATGCTAGAGAAAAAATATCAAGGAAGGGAATGTGAACAGTAGCAAATGATCTATTTAGAATGAAATACAGCTATTTTTGCTTTTGTAGATTCCAATTATGAACTCAGTTGTATTAGGCAAACTGTATGTGCAGAAAATTTCAAGAACAAGATACCCCAAGTAGGTATTAAAAGGGAGAAATACAGTGGAGCACCAAGTAGGATGTTCTCAACAAATGTCTCAAAAAAAAAAAAAATGCATGGAGTGAAAATGAGACAACTGCTACAAACAGATCAGTCTGACAAGTAAGTGCTTTTAGAATAAAAATTAATTTTTTGGCTGATCTTTCCCTCATTATATAGATGAGGCCCTATGGCTTCTCCTCTCATTAGATAGATGAGGGAGACCAATTGATTTGTCCAAAACTTACAAAGGTAGATTTCACACATGGTTCAGAGGAGGGAGCCTCTCTTTTTGTGAAGAGGATAGCAGAATGTCTAAGTTCTCTTCAATTTAGCAATATAACTTGTAGAATTAAGAGCAGGTTTTAAGATTTTCTTATATACCTTTATACATACATATCTTTATCTCATATACCTTTATACACACACACACACCAATTATAGTTATATATAAATTTATAATTTATATTAAATTATATAACTAAATGATATATATTATATATAACTATATAACTCTCTCTCTCTATATATAATTCTGAGTCCTTTTTAGAGTTATCTCATCACCTTTCAAAAATACTATAAAAATGAATTTATAATAAAAGACATGGTTGTGTCCAGATAATAATCAGGATAAGACCACCTAATATTTATCTCTAATATTCGAGATTTTTTCAGACATAAGTGAGTAAAACAAGAACATTCTACCACAGGTTAGTTTAACACAGGGTTACTCAACCTTGGCACTAGTGACGTTTGGGCAGGATAGTTCTTTGCCATGAGGGGCTGTCCTATGCATGATAGGGTGTTTAGCAGCATTCCTGGCCTCCACCAACTAGATGCCTGTAACAACCCTAGTCATGACAAGCAAAAATGTCTCTTGACATTGCCAGATGTCCCCTGGGGGGCAAAACTGCTCCCTTGTTTAAAAACACTGGTTTTAACATCATGTCTACAACAAAACAAATACAATTTCCAGCTGTGTGATACCATTGTGGAACTGACTGTGATTAAACTAGAGTTGCATTTTTATTCTAATTCATGGCTAGACCTAAGTTAAATTAAGTATACCAGTTTTTGTCTAGAGCTGAGCTATCCACTACAGCAGTCACGAGCCATATGTGGCTACTCTGGAGTAAAATGTACAGTAAGGGTAAAATATGCACTGGATTTTGAAGACTTGATAGGAAAAAAGGATGTAAAATATCTCATAATTTTTATGTTAACTGAGCTATTTTGGTATACTTACTGGGTGAAAAATTAAAATTAATTTCACCTGCTCATTTTCATTTTTTTAAAATGTGCTACTAGAAAATTCTAAGTTACATATATGACTCACATTATATTTCCATTGGACAAAACTGGTCTAGAAACTTGAAATGATTTAGTATTATCTTTTAATAAATTCTTCAGTCTATCAAATAAACTAAAAAGACTTTGTAAAGCTCTCCACAGCCCTATGAAACCAGCTCGTTAACTCTTTAGAGCATCATAACTCTTTATTATCATGCTTAAATGATTTTCCTCCTTCTTTAAACAAATTACTTCTATTCCAATGCTTTATTCTCAGTGTTTCAATTGGTTCTTTTCTGAATGCTGATTTATCTTCATGTTTTTTCTCATTCTCCTGTGCATCTGTTTCTTTTGCACACTCAGGATCTTTCCTTGTGGGATGATGAGATGCTGCAGCATCCATCATACTTAGAAAATCATAAGCAGGAAGAGGAGGTTTCCATTCCTGAGCAGGTAAAATTGCTGCAAGGAAGATACAACCAAAGGTTAATAATGAACAGCTATAAAATCATCATATAAATACTAGAAAATATTGTATTTTGAAAAATATATTTGTAGGAGTAAAGGCTTTATCAGTTTTACTTATCTAAATGAAACTAGATTTTTTTATTGTCATTGTCTAAGAAACTTGATACATTTGTCATTACTAGCCATTTTCACTTTTTTATATATTTGCAAGCTATTCTAAATAAAGGTTAGTATTTTTTTAAAACATTTGTTTTTTAAAAAGGTTTTATTTGAGAGAGAGAGACTGAAAGAGAGAGAGCACAAGTGGGGTGAGGGGTAGAGGGAGAAGTAGACTCCCTGCTGAGCAGGGAGCCTGACATGGGGCTCAATCCCCGGACTCTGGGATCATGACCTGAGCCAAAGGCAGACACTTAACGACTGAGCCACCCAAGTGCCCCTAAACATTAGTATTAATAGAGGGAAAAAAAGGTCCCAAATCTCCCGACTAGTTAACCCTTGTTGAGGTTTTTAAAAAAATAGCAATATGGTAATGAGATTACATACAGATAGAAGTTAAAATGAAAAAGCCTCCTGCTTTCCACCCTACACAACTTTATCCCAAAGAACTGGAACTTTTTTTTTTTTAATTCCAGTATAGTTAACATAGTGTTATATTAGTTGCAATATAGTGATTCATCAATTCTATACATTACTCAGTGCTCATCAGGATAAGTGCACTCTTAATCCCCTTCACTTATTTCACCCATTCCCCCACGCACCTCCCCTGTGGTAACCATCAGTTTGTTCTCTACAGTTAAGAGTCTGATTTTTGGTTTGTCTTTTTTCTTTGTTCATTTTCTTTCTTAAATTCCACATATAAGTGAAATCAAATGGGTATTTGTCTTCTCTGACTAACTTACTTCCCTTAGCATTATTACTCTCTAGATCCATCCATGTTGTTGCAAATGACAAGATTTCATTCTTTTGTATGGCTGAGTAATATTCCTGTGTGTGTGTGTGTGTGTGTGTACACACAGATCTTCTTTATTCACTTATCAATGGACAGTCTGCTTCCATAATTTGGCAATTGTAAATACTGCAATAAAGATAGGAGTGCATATATCTTTTTGAATTAGATACTGTCTTCATATTCCTTGGGTAAATACTCAGTAGTGGTATTACTGGATCATATGGTAATTCTGTTTTTAATTTTTTTTTAAGATTTTATTTATTTATTTGACAGAGAGACACACAGTGAAAAAGGGAACACAAGCAGGGGGAGTGGGAGAGGGAAAAGCAGGCTTCCCACAGAGCAGGGAGCCCAATGCGGGGCTCCATCCCAGGACCCCTGGGACTATGACCTGAGCCAAAAGCAGACATTTAATGACTGAGCCACCAGGTGGCCCTATTTTTAATTTTTTTGAGGAACCTCCATGCTGTTTTCCACAGGGGCTGCACCAGCTTGCAGTCCCATCAACAATGCACAAGGGGTCCTTATTCTCCGCATCCTTGTCAACACTTGCTATTTCATGTATTTTTTATTTTAGCCAATCTGACAGGTATGAGGTAATATCTCATTGTGGTTTTGATTTGCATTTCCCTGACAATGAGTGACATTGAGCATCTTTTCACATGTCTTGTTGACCATCTGGATGTCTTTTTTGGAGAAATATCTATTCATGTATTCTGTCCCTTTTTAATTGGACTACTTATTTTGGGGGTGTTAAGTTGTGTAAGTTCTTTATATATTTTGGATACTAACCCTTTATTAGATATGTCATTTGCAAATATCCCATTCAGTAGGCTGTCTTTTCGTTTTGTTGTTTCCTTTGCCATGCAGAAGTCCTTTATTTTGCTGGGCTCCAATAGTTTAATTTAATTTAATTAATAATTTAATTTTGCTTTTGTTTCCCTTGCCTCAGGAGACATATTAGAAAAATGCTGCTATGGCCAATGCCAAAGAAATTACTGCCTGTGCTCTCTTCTAGGATTTTTATGGTTCAGATCTCACATTTATGTCCTTAATAATGTTAACGACTCACCTTAAAAATGGATTAATCCATTTTAAGGTGTGAGAAAGCGGTCCAGTTTCATTTGTTGTTATGGAGCTGTCCAGTTTGCCAACACCATCTTTTTCCCATTGCATATTCTCACCTTCTTTGTCAAAGATTAATTGACCATATAATCATGGGTTTATTTCTGGGCTCTCTATTCTCCAATGATCTATGTGTCTATTTTTGTGCCAGTACCATACTGTTGTGATTACCACAGCTTTGTAGTATATCTTGAAATCTGGGATTGTTCTCCTTGTTTTGTTCTTCTTGCACAAGATTGCTTTGGCTATTTAGGTTCTTTTCTGGTTCCATACAAATTTTACAATTGTTTGATCTACTCCTATGAAAAATTCTGTTGGTACTGTGATAGGGATTGCATTAAAATCTGTAGATTGCTTTGGGTAGTATGGACATTTTAACAATATTAATTCTTCCAACCCATGAGCATTTCCATTTGTTTATGTTGTCTTTGTTTCATCAATGTTTTATAGTTTTCACAGTACAGGTCTTACCTGCTTGGTTAAGTTTTTTCCTAGATATTTTATTATTTTGGGTGCAACTTTAAATGGAACTGTTTTCTCAATTTCTCTTTCTGCTATTTCATTGTTTTTTGGGTTTTTTTAATTATGTTATGTTAATCACCATACATTACATCATTAGTTTTTGATGTAGTGTTCTATGATTCATTGTTTGCATATAACACCCAGTGCTCCATTGTTAGTGTATGGAAATGCAACAGATACCTGTTTATTGACTTCATACCCTGCGACCTTATGGAATTCATCATCAGTTCTAGTAGTTTTTTGGTGGAGTCTATAGTATCGGGTCATCTACAAATAGTAACAGTTTTACTTCTTCCTTACCAATTTGGATGCCTTTTATTTCTTTTTGTTGTCTGATTGCTGTGGCTAGGGCTTCCAGTACTAAGTTTAATAGAAGTGGTAAGAGTGGACATTCTTATTACTGACCTTAGGGTAAAAGCTGTTTTTCACCATTGAGTATGATGTTAGCTGTGGGTTTTTCATATATGGCCTTTATTATGTTGAAGTATGTTCCCTCTAAGCTTACTTTGTTGTTTTTATCATCAATGGATGTTGTACTTTGTCAAATGCTTTGTCTGCATCTATTTAAATGATCATATGGTTTTTTATCCTTTCTCTTGTTGATTTGATGTATCACAATGATGATTTATGAATAACGAACCACCCTTGCATCCCAGGAATAAATCCCACTTGATAATGTGAATGATTTTTTAAATGTATTGTTAGATTCAGTATGCTAATATTTTGTTGAGGATTTTTGCATCTATGTTCATCAGAAATATTAGCCTGTGATTCTTTTTTTATAGGGTCTTTATCTGGCCTCATGGAATGAATTTGAAAGCTTTTCTTCCTCTCTTTTCTTTAATAGTTTGAGAACAAGGTATTAAATCTTCCTTAAATGTTTGGTAGAATTCACCTGTGTAGCCATTTGGACTTTTCTTTGTTGGGAGTCTTTTGATTACTGATTCAATTTCATTGCTGGCTCAAAGTTTCTATTTCTTTCTGATTCAGTTTTGGGAGGTTACATGTTTCTAGGAATTTAACCATTTCTTCTAGGTTGTCCAATTTGTTGACATAGAATTTTTCATAACATTCTCTTATAATCCTTCATATTTCTGTGCTGTCAGTTGTTATTTCTATCACTTCTGATTTTGAGTCCCCTCTCTCTCTCTTTTTCATGATCTGGCTAAAGGTCTATCAATTTTGTTGACCTTTTCCAAGAACCAGCTCCTAGTTTCACTGATCTATTGTTTTTTTAGTTTCTATTTCCTTTATATCTGCTCTGATCTTTATTATTTCCTTCCTTCTACTGGTTTGGGGTTTTGTTTGTTCTTTTCCTACCGCCTTTAGGTGTAAGGTAGGGTTATTTGAGATTTTTCTTGCTTCTTGAGGTAGGCCTGTATTGCTATAAACTTCCCTTTTAGAACAACTTTTGCTGCACCCCAAAGATTTTGCACCATTGTTTTCATTTTCCTCATCTCTATTTCTTATTTCCTCTTTGATTTCTTTGTTGACCCATTCATTGTTTAGTAGAATGTTACTTAACTTCCATGTAGTTGTGTTGTTTCCATATTTTTTCTTGTAACTAATTTCTAGTTTTATAGAGTTGTGCTCAGAAGAAATGCATGGTATGACTTCAATCTTTTTTAATTTGTTGAGACTTGTTTTGGGGGTCTAATATGTGATCTATTCTGGAGAATGTTCCATGTGCACTTGAAAAGAATGTGAATTCTGCTGTTTTAAAAGGATAGACTGTTCTGAATATATCTGTTAGGTCCAACTGGGCCAATGTGTCATTCAAAGCCACTGTTTCCTTGTTGATTTTTCTATTTGGATGATCTATCCATTGATGTGACTGGGGTGTTAAATTCCCCTACTATTATTATATTACTATCAGTTACTTCCTTTATGTTTGTTACTAGATGATATTATGTATTTGGGTGCTCCCATGTTGGTGCATAAATATTTACAATTGTTCTATCTCTTTGGTTAAAAGCTTATTTTGTCTGATATACATATTGCTACCCTGGCTTTCTTTTCACTTCCATTTGCATGATAAATGCTTTTCTATTGGTTCACTTTCAAATTGCACGTGTCTTTACATTTGAAATGAGTCTCTTATAGGCAGCATACAGATGGGTCTTGTTTTTTATCCATTCCCTCACCCTATGTCTTTTGAATGGAGCGTTTAGTCCATTTACATTCAAAGCAATTATTGATAGGTATGTTATTTATTGCCATTTGGTTAATTTGTTTTATGGTTGTTTTTGTGGTTCCTCTTTGTTCCTTTCCTCTCTTGCTTTATTCTCTCATGGTTTACTGGCTTTCTTTAATGATATATTGGATTCCTTTTGCTTTATTTTTTCCATATCTATTACTGATTTTTGATCTGTTGTTACCATTTGGTTTATATATAACA